CAGAGAGACGGGGCAATAATTTACAGTGAACTTCAGTATGTACTGAGTGTAAACTTTACATTACACATCCTAATTAACACGTTGTGTAAAATTAGTTTAGTGTTAATTGACCATAGCAAACAAACACTAAAGTTATGCAACATGCATCTGCACACAAAATGAAGCACAACTAGCTTTGAGCAATAACCTTTAATTTAACCATTACGCATTATGACAGAAAATGGAGGATTTACCTGCAGTTACCTTCATACAGATAAACATGCGTTACTTCCAGTTTATCACTGTTGTATTCAGCTGATCATGAGGTCGGCCGCAGGGCTTTATCCACCTTTTACATTTTTCCAGACTCATTTTAGATTTTGGAAATAGAATAAATTGTAATCCATCCTCTAAATGCTCAGGGTAACACTTTCTGAATGTCATGTTCTCCACTGACATTTAACCGTTTTTATCTGAATTTTCACAAAATTACTTTGTCCGCAAAGCGTTCATAATGCAAACCTGACAATATTGTCAGAGGAAAAGGAGGGTGCAGCTCCTGCAGGTAAAGAGCATTTCACTTTGGGATAAATTACAATCTCGGATTAGTCAGTTGCTGACGAGCCTGCTTGATTGATTGACAGGCGACATTATGTCAGTGGCTCCCTCCACTCTCCATGAACGGTCACTGTTGCCGCCTCGGACAAGCAAAAAATAAAACAAAAAAAAAAACTACGTCTGTTGTTCGCCGCAGTGTAACTCTTCCCCACCTGCGTATCTTACACCAAAAACATTTAGGTTTACTTGCATTCCCTGTTCAGTTCCTTTCCAGAAAAACACTCCTCTCCAAAACTCCATATATTATTCAAATCTCTCAGCCATGGGGGACATCGGCGTACCACTTGTCTAAAAATGGCTCCAGGCTGAGAAAACCTTGAATTGCCATCCCTGCGTTTTCATGTGAACGGCCAAAACTCAACCCTTGGAAAATGATGATGTCATAGACTCGCCTCTGAGCTAACCTACGACCCCAAACGTGACAGACGCAACAACCTATTACATGCCAAATGGCTTTATCACTCTGAGCTGTCAAAAAAAAGCTTCAGAAAACTAAAGTATTCATCAAGTATTAATTAAAAATAATAATTTAAAAGAGAATTGTGTGTAAAGACCCTGATACACTTTGGACATTTGGGAGGGAAGCCCTGCCCTCCACTCGCCCTCGCTGGATTCTGTGCCTGAAATTGTCCATTTTGTCACATATTTGGACCGGCACGTCCCTGTTGCCACTATGCTTCACATTTGTGAACTAAAAAGATTGTTTTGGTAAAACAAAGTGGGAGAGATGCTATAAATCTGAGAAGTGGCCTCTCAGGAGTTACTCTTTCTGTTGTAGAAAGGTTGTGTCATGGAAAACAAAAACACAAAATGAGAAAATAGTTTGATGTGTTGTGGTGACTTTAGCTGCTCTGAAAAAAACTAACAGAAGAAGCTTCCTCTGTGTATTTCTTTAACAAGCTGCTCGAAGAAAAGCAGGATAAAAGATGCTGAGCGTAATGGGGAGTAACATATAAAAAGGGAAGGAGAGAGGGCAGGCTGAGAGCTTTAACAAAAAAAAAAAAAAAAAGCTCCCAAAAGCTTTTTGACTTCTGAAAACCACGTGAAGCCTTCTGGTCCGAGTGCTGGTCAAAGCGCAGAGTGAGCGAGAGTAAGGGCAACTCTGGTGTTCTTCAAAATCACAAAAGACACAAACAGGAAGTGTGCGGCAGGCAGAGAATGATAAAAGGATGAATGTTTGATGTTCTTACAGGGAAGAACACGTGTTTCTCTGCGACGGGGAAACGAGAGCAGCGCATTTAAATTTGACTCTAAAGCTGCAGCGCTGCTGCTCCAGTGGGTTCCCAGATTTCTGCAACGCTCCCAGAACTGAAGCGGCTGCACCCAGTCTGCCACACTGAAGGACGGACACACTCTGAGAGCAGCAGGATTAATATTTCATATGTAGCTCTGCATCATGTAGAGAGGCGGGCCGACGGCGTCGCAGACCGCTACAGAAAAGAGACGAGCAGAAGAAACTGCTGCACAGCTTCACAAAGTAACACAACTGAATCAAGTTTCCTTTGGAAAATCTTCTTACACTGTTTGGAAACCATAATAATTTGGTGTGCTATCACACGGCATGGTGGCGCAGTCGTTAGAGCTGTTGCATCTCAGCGAGAAGGTCGCCGGATCGAATCCCGGCCAGGGGCCTTTCTTGGTGGAGTTTGCATGTTTTCTCCGAGCATGTGTGGATTTTCTCCGGGTACACTGGTTTCCTCCCAGGAGTGGTGGTGCAGAGGTTAGAGACGGTGGGCCTGTGATCGGAAGTTCGCTGGTTCAACTCCCCAGACTGACATCCAAATGTTGGTGGGAAAGTTAAACCACCCACACCTGCCTTCACCCTCATTTGCCCCACTCTTGTCCCTTGAGCGAGGCCCTTAACCCCCACCATCTGCTCCCCTGGGTGCCCTACATGGCAGCTCTCTGCTCCACACAGAGGGCTGAGGTAGCTCAGTGGCCTGTGGTTGCATCAGAAAGGACGTGCAGCGTAAAATCAATTGACAAATCTTTGTGCGAGTAAGTTCACTGTGCTGACCCCTGAAGAAGGGAGCAGCCAAAAGAAGAAGACGACGACGACTCCGGTTTCCTCCCACAGACCAAAAACATGTATGTTAGGCTGATTGGTAACTCTGTCTCTAGGTGTGAGTGAAAGAGTGATTGGTTGTCTCATTTGTCTCTATGTGTCCCTGTGATGGACTGGAGACCTGTCCAGGGTGTCCCCACCTCTCTCACAGTGATTGCTGGACATGGGCACCACTGATCCCCGCAACCCAGAAAGGAAGAAGTGGGTAAAGAGGGTGGATGGATGGATGGTTATTTTTTTGTTTAGTCTATTTAACTAGCAGATACAAAGTGTAGCTTTTGGATGCAGCACAGGACACTATTTACAGTATCTTCAAAGAAGCATAAAAGGACCTTGAATGACCCTTCCCTTAACTCAGACGTTGCTTCTAAACCGAAGAAATAAAGCCATCAAAAGTATTTTCATGTATTTACTGTTGAAGGGACTTGCAGTATGAGCAGCTCTTCAGGTGCTGCTTGTTGTAGTTCGTTTCACACAACAGTTGGGGGTCAGGACGCTACTTTGGTTCATGAAGCATCAACTTTGAGGTCTTGAGGCCCAAAATTAAATTAAATTAAAAAATAACTCTATATGTATTTGCTGTAACTTATGAGACATCAAGAGTACCACATACAGCACATTACATACCCGTTGACAAACTGTCATACAGATATCTGTAGTAACGGCAACAGAGAATTTGCCAGTTTTTTCCACAATCTTGGTTTAAGGTCACATTTTTGAGAGCCCAGAAGCTTCTTTTATGTTTTTACAATAAAATGGTCAGAGGGTGGACCTTCCTCTCTGGGTTGGACGTGAGGTTCAGCCTCAAGTGGAGTTCAAGTTTCTCTGGGTTTTGTTCACCGTGAGGGAAGAACGGAGCAACAGATTGACAGATGGATCAGTGCAGCTTCTGCAGTATTGTGTACTCTGTGCTGGTCCATTGTGGTGAAGTGGGACCTGAGCTGCAAGAAGCTCTCCGTTTACCAGCGGTCTACGTTCCTACCCTCAACTGAGATCACAAACTCTGGGTAGAGACTGAAAGAACGAGGTCATGGATCAAGGTCTGAATGAGTTTCCTCCGCAGGCTAGATGGACTCTCCCTTAGAGATAGGGTGAGAAGTTTAATTCTCCAGGAGAGACTCAGAGTAGAACCGCTGTTCATCCATCTGGTCAGGACACTCACTAGATGCCCCCATTGGGAGGTGTTCTGGACATGCCCAACTGGAAGGGGACTCCGGGGAAGACTCAGGACACACTGGAGAGACTCTCTCAGTTGGTCTAGGAGCACCTTGGAGTCCTCCCAGAAGAGCTGGAAGAGGTGGCTGTGGAGAGAGTTGTCTGGACCTCCCGGCTCAAACTGCTGAGACCTGAGACTGGAACAGGCCAAAGTGGGTGGGTGGATGGATGGATGGATGGATGGATGGATGGATGGATGGATGGATGGATGGATGGATATTGCATATCTTTGCAAAACTGACAGGTTAGGTTTTTCATAGCCACTTTTAAACCTGAGCTAGGATAACCCATGTCAGAACTTTGCTGCAGAAACGTCTGTCTTAATGAATGAAAGCTGCCTTTTCTCATCCTTGACAGATCACATACTGACACACTATCAGATTTAGCTGAAGTTGCACCACATCTTCACATGGGGGGGGGGGGGGGGGGTGTTTCAAGGGGAATCTTACTGTCAGCAGATGTTACATAAGAGTTCCCTGTTCCATCTGGTTATTGGTGCATCCTCTGAAACCTGATCACAGATTACTACACAGACGGTCCGAGGAGCGTGTCGGATCGATTACACTGCAGCTGGAACAGACTGCATGGATGCACGGGGGGGGGGGGGGGGTGTGGCACACAAGTGGAGAGAGAAACTAGTTTCAAATGAAAATGAATGAAGTCGAGCACATCTGTGTTTTAGTTACAGATGTGACGAAGCTTGACGGTTAACACGGTGAAGATGAACGTGTTCGGGTCAGCAGAGCGGAGGGTTCGATTTCTGCCGATCTTCATCAGTTCAACTTAAGGAATCGATTCGAGCTGCTTATCAGGACAGAGGAAACAGGAAAGGCTTTTTGCTGCCGCTGCTGTTTTCTTCTGTAAACATTTTGTTGGCTCACATGCTGATTAAAACAAATACAGTAAAAATTAAAGTTAACCTGCAGAAAGTAGCAGATCATGTTTTAAAATGTCCTTGATTTTATTTTTCATTTACAAGGAGCCCTCATTATAAACTGATGGAAACAAGATTTTTATTCAGAGACGAATCTCCCACTCATGTCAGGAGCCGCCTCCTCCAGATGGTTTGAAATTGACACATTTGTTTATTTTTGTTTGTTTGTTTGTGTTTTTTTCCTGGCAGATGATGGGAAGCTGTCTCTGGATGAGTTCCAGGCGTTCTTCTCTGACGGCACGCTGAACGAGGAGGAGCTGGAGAAGCTGTTTCACACCATCGACTCCGATAACACCAGGTCAGCACCGTCACGCTGCCGCAGCGTGCACGTGCGCTTGCATGAAACATTGAGAGAGGCTGCATGGAAATAATTAACATGCTGGACATTTAGAGGTGCGTGCACGTATGTGGGATTTCTGCACCATGACTTTGGTTTAGATTTTATTTGAAATAAGAATTGGAAAGTATTTTTTATTCTGTTTTGTTTGAGTTTTAAGTTTATGTGAGTTTATGATAATTTCATGGTTCAGGTTGCCTTTTGCCTCAAAGCCTTTCAGTGTAAAGTTGTTTTTTTTTAAAGAAGTTTCTATGAGTAGTTAGTATCTTACCTGCAGCAGCCAGCAGAGTTCTCTGTTTAAATTCATGTTATCCTGAGGAGTGATCAGCTCGACTCCCTCGTGAGAATTTCTTCAAACTTGGATTACTCTGACAGCCGTTCGCTGCAAGTAAGATACTGATTGCTTATAACGACTCCACTTAACCTCACAAAATAAAAATTGAAAAACATTTCAAATTCAGAAAGGAAACAGTCTGAGGGTGTTTTCCTTCTCATTTAAGGAACTTTATTCCTTAGCAAATCAAAAATAGTAATTAGTGAAGTTTAAATTATGAGCTACAAACAGAAACACAAAGTCAAATCTGCATTTGAAGCCAAATTTATCCATTCAGCATCAAGACATTAACTCTGAGTTTTTAAGATGCTCTTTTTTATTTTTATGTTTTGCTTTATTTGCTGGATTTGCAAAACACAAGATGTTAAATTGACATTATTTTTATTTTTTTGTTGTTTTTTCTTTACATTCTCCACCTCAGCCACTGTAAGAAATCTTTATCCATTTTTATAATTTTTTTTTTTAGATGTTTCATCCTTCATCCATTCATTCAACCTTTATTTACACAGATTAGTCCCATTGAGCCTTGGGGGCTCGTTTACAAGAGAGACCTGAATCCAAAGGACTTCATTAGTCCGAGGAGCCATAAAACAAACTGAGTCCCATGAGCAGCACACTCCCATAGTGGACCAACCAGTTTGCTGGTGATAAGAGCAAAGTTTGTTTTGTGAATTTGTTTGTGGCTCCTCAGATTGATGAAGTCCTTTGGATGAAGGACGAAACATCTCAACAAAAACAGAAACCGTCCAGATGATCTGACTGAGCGTTGTTGGATTTTTTTTACCTGGATTATTGAGCATGAACTTGGATGTTTACCCATTTTCTTCGTCTTCTTTTCTCTCTTCTCTTAACCTCTGTGGCGTTACTCGCCCCATCCTTCAGGATATTAACCTCTCTGCAGCCGCAGCTCCTTTTGCACATTTTTTTCTTTTATTGCCTTCATTAAATCAATTTATTGAGCTTTTATTATCCGTTAATCTGCAGTGAGATGTGTGCTGACACGGTGAGATGTGAATAATCAAAAGTCGGACTGTTAATTTACAGAACCTTTGGGTCCTGCAGAGCCGGGGATAAAATGAAGTGGGGCGGAACAAAAGCTGACCTGTTCTAGTCGGAGCGGGTCGGGTGTGTAAATCCTCCTCGGGGCTCGGCCTTTTGTCACTTTATCTGCCGTTAAATCAGCGAGCGGCGCGTGCAGCTGCTGGAGGTGTTCTCTCTGCTGCAGACGTTTTAAAGCGGAGCCTCGTGCTGGAGCTCAGAGTCGGCACGAGGCAGCAGATAAACTTATTGACTGATTGAGTCGCAGTAGAAATTAGGATTTAAGTGTTTCCTGTTTGAAGCAGGAAGTTGACAAATGGAGGAGAGGCACCAAGCGGGTTCTGATTTTCTCTCACTTTAGCTTTATTGGCTTTTCAGTCAATTTTCTGAGCTTTCCGCCTCTTTTTGTGTCACTGTCTGTAAGCTGCCACTCAGCTGCCACTTCGTCTCTCTCCCAGCTCTCCTCATCCTCTCCACGTGTCACTCTCCTGGTTCCGCCCCGCTCTGCTCCTAAATCTGCACTGTACATCCGTCTGCCTGCAGTTTCCTTCACAATCTGCCGTAGGAGGCGAGGGTCTGAAATCTCCTGTAATTTAAACAGGCAGCACCGTGCAGGAGGAGCGACGGTATCATCGCTGGTCCCCAGAACAAAAACTGGACTTCTTTCTTCAAACTTTTCTGTTTGGAATGGTCATCAGTCGTGTGAACTTCTCTTCATTTGGAAACATAACGGTGCACGTTGAATGCACAGTCCGTTTGAAGACGTCTTCAAGTCTGATGAATGTTTCCTGCATGTTTTCATTATTTGTCCAACTCTCGTTCATGCAGCGTCCCTGAACAGTAGTCTGATATTCTGGTAAAGAGACACATGGAACGTTTCTGCATTTTATTTCAACACTTTCATCTTTTCCATCTTCTGACTGCTTCTTCTTCCTTCAGCTGTCGTGTCCACAGCGAGTTCTCCTCTGTCTCACTCTGTCCTCACTCCAACTACCTCCATGTCCTCTCTAACATCATCCATATATCTGCATTTAAATCTTCATTCTACCAATATACCCACTGTCCCTTCTTTAGACATGTCCAAACCACTGTCCCTCCTCTGGACATATCCAAACCACTGTCCCTCCTCTGGACATGTCCAAACCACTCTTCCTCCTCTGGACTTGTCCAAACCAATGTCCCTCTGCTGGACTTGTCCAAACCACTGTCCCTCCTCTGGACTTGTCCAAACCAATGTCCCTCTGCTGGACTTTTCCAAACCAATGTCCCTCTACTGGACATGTCCAAACCACTGTCCCTCTACTGGACATGTCCAAACACTGTTCCTCCTCTGGTCATGTCCAAACCACTGTCTCTCTTCTGGACATGTCCAAACCACTGTCCCTCCTTGGGACATGTCCAAACCACTGTCTCTTTTTGGGACATGTCCAAGCCACTGTCTCTCTTCTCGACAAGTCCAAACCACTGTCCCTCTTTGGGACATGTCCAAACCACTATCTCTATTCTGGACATGTCCAAACCACTGTCCCTATTCTGGACATGTCCAAACCACTGTCCCTCCTCTGGACTTGTCCAAACCAATGTCCCTCTGCTGGACATGTCCAAACCACTGCCCATCTGCTGGACACAACCAAACCACTGTCCCTCCTCTGGACTTGTCCAAACCAATGTCCCTCTGCTGGACTTGTCCAGACCAATGTCCCTCTACTGGACATGTCCAAACCATTGTCCCTCTACTGGACATGTCCAAACACTGTTCCTCCTCTGGTCATGTCCAAACCACTGTCTCTCTTCTGGACATGTCCAAACCACTGTCTCTCTTCTGGACATGTCCTAACCACTGTCCCTCCTTTGGACATGTCCAAACCACTGTCTCTCTTCTCGACATGTCCAAACCACTATCTCTATTCTGGACATGTCCAAACCACTGTCCCTATTCTGGACATGTCCAAACCACTGTCCCTCCTTGGGACATGTCCAAACCACTGTCCCTCCTTGGGACATGTCCAAACCATCTCAGTCTGACCTCTCTAAGTTTCTTTTTTTTTCATCAAATGAGGAAAATCTTATTTGTATTAATAAATAAACTACAAAAACATTCAGCTGCTAAATGATGAGCCTGGATCTGAGGAGCTGACTGAACTAATTTAGATAATTATGGATCCGTTCACACTGAAAGTTAAAGGAACTCAAACTGGTTTTATTTTCTCACCCACATTAAAAGTTTTGGCAGTCTGAACGCGACAAATCAGATTAGTTTTTCATAATGTTTTTCAAAGTGACCTGAGTCTGAACGGTCACGTCACATTTCGTCTGTTACGTCAGCGAGTTCGAGGGATGTAGATCGACCCGAGTATTAATAATTTTGATACCAACCTTGTGTAGGAGCTCCAAGTCAGCAGCTACAGAACCAAGTCCAGTGGCCTCGTCTTTTTGTTTTTAATTTGTCCCGAATGACCGAGAGTCTACACCAGCACATGAGCGTTGATGTCGGATTGTATCAGCACCAGCGTGATGGGATTAATAAGTTTTTCACTTTCAGTTTGTTCCACAAATACAATGTTGCACCAGAGTAACCACAAAGAGGAAAGATCAAGTGTGAAGCCTGGATGAAACAGTCATGTCATAAAAATTAAATTTGTTCCGATTGCACGGCAACTCCAGAAAAGAGTTTCTTCAGCGGGTCACATCAGAACTGTGGCCCGTTCAAGCTTTTAAAATATGAAGTGAACGACAACAAAACGTCGCCGCCTCAGACTCGTGTCAGTTGTTTCTGATGACTTCCTGCCTGCTGAACTTAAACCCTCTTTGTTGTTCTGTACATCAGCATGTTTTAAAAACGGTTTGTTTCTAACTCCTCCGTGTCTTTTCTCTGACTTGATCCTTTCTTCTGCTTACCGTGGTAGTAATGTAGACACCAAGGAACTCTGTGGTGAGTGGACTCAAACACACGTCTGCTTTAAACCCTCTGATCTGCTTAAAATACGTGTTAATTTGAGTGCATGTGTGTGTGTCTGTGTGTGTGCAGACTACTTTGCCAAACACATGGGAGAATACGAGGGAGTTCTGGCCTCGCTGGAAACACTCAACCTTTCCATCCTTAAAGCCATGGATTTCACCAAAAAGGTAGGAGCAAGTTTTTGTTAAATCAAGATGAGCTGCAAAGTTTCTTCATCAACTGATGCTTTTATTTCAACTTTTATGACCCCGAATCACAGAAGAGGCACTTTTCAAGCTAAAAATGTAACTTCAACATAAAGATGTAACAACCTCCCTTAAATTTCAAGTGGAATTAAGTTCTTAATCCGAATAACTCCAGGTTCTGGCTTCCTCTTTGTTTCCTGATTCAGTTTTATTGCTTGTTTAAAAATGTTTAAATCTTCTATAATCTTGGTGTGCAGGTCTAGCAGCCAGTTTCTCTCCAGGATCCAAGATCCCAAATAATGAATTTGCTCTGCCTCAATAAACTTGAAGACCCAAAATAAAACTTTTGTTTTATTTATGTTTATTTGTTAAAAAAAAGAGTTTTCTATTGTTGGGTTTTACCATTTTGACAGATTTGTAATCTCTTTAGTCAGTTTCAGTTGTCTTTGGAAATGCTATAGAAATAAAACTGACGAGAACGCACACACCTGTACACAAATTAAAAAAATGAGTGAACATGATACAATTTGTGTAAAGCTTGTACTGAAATTAATTTTGACATAATTCAATAATCAAACCCACAAAACAAATTTACAACCAAACTGAGTCTGCACGTTAGAGGTAATTGTGTGCTTGCATTTCTCAAAGAATTAGCTTTTAGCTAGCCTTTTGCTTCTTTAAACTATTAGCTAGCTTCTTGATATATTTAGCTTGGCTTTCTTTATCTGCTCTTTTTATTTTCATCCAGTTTTTACATTTAATTTTTAGCTTGCCCTTTAGATTTTGCTCTTTTTTAGCTCATGCTCTGCTTTGAATTTTAACAACTAAATTTCAGCTTATTCAGTAAATTTCAGCAAAGACTTTAAGCCCTTAATAATCACACTCCATTTTTACAGAAAAATAAAATATATATCCTGTTGTCCAGTCAGACCCAAGCAGGTAAAATAGTAGAGCAGAACTTTGTCACTTTGCTGGTTGCACATTGTTGCAGTGACTGGACGTTCAACAGCTAAAACCTAAAATGTTTCTGGCAGAAAGTAAATTCATGGTTTTTTCCATCTTGTTCCATTAAACTCTGGTTCTGGACAATAAGTCCAGCCTGAGCAGAGGTTTTCTGCTCTATGACCCAAACAGTGCACAGATCAGGTGTAACCATGTGTGTCTGGGTCTATTGAATGCTGCAAAATAACAATGTGTCAGGTTCCTCCTTTGCTCAGTGTGCGTGTGTGTGTATGTGTGTGTGTGTGTGTGTGTGTGTGTGTGTGTGTGTGTGTGTGTGTGGGTGGGTGCATGTGTGTGTTATCCCAGTTTTCCCCGTGTGTTATTTATAGCAGCTGGTCTGCAGCAACACCTCCTTTATTCACGCTGGAGTGTTTGTATCTCTATCCTCCAGCTCTGTCTTTATCTGTCTATTAGCTGCAGGCCATTCAGATGTATACTGTACACACACGCACACACACACACACACACACACACACACACACACACTTCCTCTCCGACACACCTGTTTAGTTTCTCTCTAACGAACACTCATTGTTTAATCAATCAGCCCAAAGTCTCTCTTGTTCTGCTGCTGCATCACGTGTGCTCTGTTCCTTCTTCTTAGTCTCATTTACACTGTTTGTATCTCTCAAACATGCCCCCCCCCCCCCCCCCCCACACACACACCACCACCAGTCACAGCAAATCTCTGTAGAAACTCAAAATAAATGACAGAGCATCAAACATTTAGCAAAAGTAAGAAAAGGAAATTTAACCGATGGGGCTCTCTGGTTATGTGAAAAATAAATTGGAACTGATTTTGGTTGCAAAACCCAGTCAGAATGTGTGTGTGTGTGTATGTGTGTGTGTGTGTGTGTG